ATGACCAAAATATCCCTTGAAATTTTCAAGGGTATTTTGGCTATTTTATTTTATCGGAATTATTTTTTTTTTATATTTTTCGCTAGTGCGAGTTTAATAGAGGATTGGACCTCCAAAATTTTGTGTCAAAATAATTTATAGAAAAAAATTAAAAATAAAATAGTGTAAAGACGTGACATTATTGGGCAATATTAACCATCCATTCAGAATGGACAGTTGGATAAGGAGAAGTACATAAGTTTTATGCTAGAGGGTGACGTTTGTATAAGGTGTAAACTTTATATTACTGGAATTAAGTTGATAATTTGGGAAGACGCACTTTAAAACTATGCGGAAAGATGTTGTTTAAATGGCGGATGGCTTTATGATGTCATGACTATCTATTGTTAACCTATTTTAAAATGCTAAAAATGATATAGATCTGCCATGTCTACAAACTCTTAAAAATTTTCAAAACAGATAGTATAGAAAATGCATGACGTGAAAGTTTTTATTTTATTTATTATTTTTTGTTTTTACAATTTCTATATGTTTGAGATTGAGATGATTAATTCAAGTGTTTTCTAATAACTTTTTTTTTTTTTAGGTTTTGGGGTTGTGCTTTACTTCGATAGTATATGATTGACATATGATATAGACTTTTTCTTTTTTATAATAATGCCGTACCCCAAAGTAATTAACAAATAAACATTATTCTCTCTTCTTAGAATTTCTATAAACAGTAAAAAGTTACTATATTGAAAAATAAAAACTAGTCTGTGTATGAACTACCCAATACTCTCTCTCTCTCATCCTTTACATTAAGCAAGCACTTAGCAACCCTAACAAGAACACAGCTTTGTATTGAATATTTTTTTGCTAAAAAATTTGGGGCAATGAGGTTTCGAGAATTTAAAAAATGCTTAGCCGCATCATTATGGACTTAAAAACACCTTGAGTCCTGAAATACTATTGGAAAACTACTGATAAGCAATAAGATTTTTAACGTATCGTAATGTTTAGCTTGGTTATTACAATACTTAGAGTATTGTAATGCTTATCTGGTCATTACGGTACTTAAAGTACCATAATGCTTAGTCATTATAGTAATACGAATACCATGAAGACTATTTTGTTAAAAAAAAAAAACCAAAATTCAAGAAAAAAAAAGACGAAGTTTATGAAAGTTGAAGTTTTTTTTCCAATTAAATGAAAATTAAGATATATTTCTAATAATTTCTCTAGAAATAACTAGTGATTTGAAAAACATATCGGTTACACATATTGGGTGCCCCAAAAACCGGTCCCTATCGATGAATTGACGATTCGAGTCGTTGTTTTACTCTGTTAAAAAACAATGAATCCCTAAAAAAACAAGTGAAAAAATAGTGAAATGGCAAAAAAATCGGTATGAAAAAGTAAATCGACAATTTGGATTGCCGTTTTATTACAAAGAATCATCGTTTTACAGTGCGAAACTGCTGATTCTCTTATAGACTCGGTTATTTTCCTATGTATATGTAAAACCAGAATGGAGTGATCGATTCCTTGATCGTACGAGGCAATTATGTACATGTGTGTCTGTGAACTAAAGCTAGATTTGCTCCATGCCTTCTAAACTATACAATGAGAGAGAGGGGGAGAGAGATCTTCACATATTTGTGAGAATGGAACAAAAGAGATTTTCCTTAAGATCATTTTACACCTTTTCAAATAAGGGTGCAGTTTGTGTGAGGCCCTGAACAATCAAAGTAAAGCACACCTTCAAAATATGTCGAAAGTTGTTATTTTAGTATTAAAAATGTTCGGGATGGTTTGAAAATTTATAAAATTTTTAAAAATTTAAATGATGTAGATCGAGCATATCTATAAAAACTTAAAAATAGTAAAAATTGAAGTTCCAAAAAATACTCTATTTCTAAGACTTAAAAACCAATTTTCTCATTTCTATACATCTGGAGGTCAAGATTGAGGATTTTTTAGCATCAAAACAACCCCTTGTAATTAATTTTTGAGGGGAACCTTAATTTGGTTGTTTAGGGTATGAGCATTTTATCGGTCTTTATGCATATATAATTTGATTAAACAATCAGTACCAAGTTTACAATAACATCACAACCAGATAAAAAAAAAAAAACTGATATTAGCATGTAATATTGTTGTCAATTCACTAACAAACCCTAAAACACTTAAAAATGATGTACCTGGAGACATAAAAAGGCGTCTTATAAATAATAAATCAGGAAGATACAGAGATTAAGGAGGAAATGATCAAATTTGAAGGCTTTTCATATTTGACCAAAAACTCCTCCCAAACATTTCTATTGAATGAGGCTTCTCATGTATATTTTGAAGTGTTGATTCGTCAAGGACTTTATCATCATAAAAGAGAGCCTCTTCTTTTTTTTCTTTTTTTTCAATTATTTGAGGTTAGTTATATAAATCATGATCCATTTTTATGCTCTATCAATAAAGCTATAAATCTCTATATATTTTCTCAATACTTCCAACCGTGTCTTTTTGGGCCATCCCTTCCCCTTTTAATAGAACGAAATTTGAAGTGAGAAGGTGTGAGAGAGAAAAAAATAGAGTTAAGGTGGTCATTTAGCAAAGGCATGATTCACCATTATGAAGTGCCAATTTTAGAAAAAGGAGGTAAATTTTTTTGAAATAAAATAAAAATATTTATATTTTTCAAGAGAAAATGATAGTTAAGTCAACTTGGCCCATGCATACGGCCTGGAAGTAAACAGCATTAAGAAAGCAAAAATTATTTAAGCGCATGTGCCCTTGGGAGCATATTGTACATTTACCTCTCAATCAAAACACTCGCTTATTTCAATCTTAAATTTTGCGATCTGCTTTAAAACACTGGATAAATAATTGACGAAAATAAATAAATAAGCAAACGTATTAAGTTAAGATCTGAATATCTGATCCGTGTACAATTTTAGGGCATTATTTTTTTTGCATGCATTCAAGGATTTACTAAGCAATTTTTATTCAGGATAGAGCCTAGGTTAAGTAGATAACAAACAGAAAATTTGGGGTCTCAAGAACAGTCCCAAGTAGGTTTTGCATGAAGGAGCATATGTACATTTTGCTCTTGTGGGAGAGTATAATCATTTTTTAATTCTTCTCATGCATGTTGCTTTCCAAATGAGATGGCATGAATCTTAGCCGTCAATTTCGTCCATGTGGTATCCCTAATGCATTTGGAATGAGCAGCCGAGCAGGTGGCTCCATGGTTATATAAATATAAAAGCACAAAGGCAAGGAAAAAGCTTATGCAGAAGTAAGGTGCACCCAAGAAATCCAATGGAAAAGAGTATTTCAAAATCGGAAAACCTTCCAATTGATCATCAAGGCATCGAGATGTTTCAATATAAGTAAATAAATAAATAAATAAATAAAAGATTTTCAAATATTAAAAATAGTACATCATGTAACAAGTTCTATAAATTATTAATTTTCAAGTGTTTATAGATTCGCTCGACCTACACCATTTTTTAAATTTTTAATTTCATAATACATTTGAACATAGATTTTCAAACCACACTTTGCCTTCTTTAAATGTTTTAATTTTAGTTTTTAAGGTTTTTTTATTCGATGGCTAGACTGTTTTGTTTGAGGATAAAAAATAAAGTTTTGAATATCTTAACACTATGGAGACAATACTCATGTCTAGTACTTTAGAAACTCAAACCTTTTTTAATATTGTTTTATCTACTCCCCACAAAAATATCTAATTTAATTCACATAAATCTAACATCCTTGATTCAAATTATACGTGACCACATCATGTTCGAAAAGCCGATTTTAGAATTAGCATTTGTATATGTGTCAACTGCTAATAACATAGCCTTATAACAAGGCCAATTCTACATAGAATGTTAATCACATGCCACGTATTGTACTTGATAAAAAGCTCGCGCTATAGAGAAGACACTAGCTATATTTACAGTAATTCAGGGGTGTGGTTCTCTTTCTAGGACTCCCTTCCTCCCCTTCAATTTAAAGTCTTAAAAATGATCTATTTTTTGCTCTAGACTATTCATTTCAATTCTTCACAGATCATCAAATGTATACCTATTTTTGAAACTCCAAACTCACGTAAGAGTCCAAAAAATATTTCAAGTGATTGAAGATGCGTTTCGAGTTCTAAAATCCTTTAAAACAAGGGTCAATGCATGGAAAATATATACAATATAACCATTTACTTTTGATATCAAGAGATCACAATCATTGTTGACTTTTAAAAAACCATGTTTGTGGTATTTGTATGACCCAAAATTTTACGCACACACTCTCTTCATCTCAATAATCAATCCCAAAAAAAAAAAAATTCAATTTGAATCCTAGATATAATCAAAATGAATCCCTTCCAAAAACGAATCTAGACCACTCATTTGGTGAATTTCAAGATCTTCGCCTTTATAAACTCAAAATCATTTTTTTTTTTTAACATTATTCATCTAATGATAATAAAACCATCCAAAAAAAAATTAAAAATGAAAAAATCCTTCTAAGACTTGGATCTAAGCATCTCACCAAAATGGACAGCCTATGTTAATTGGGTTAAAAAATATTTTCTGGATTGTGTTTTCAATTTTATTCTTTTTTGTGATTGTTCATTAAAATAAAAAATATATATATTTCAAAATTTAGATAAAACAAATGGCCATAATATGGTTTTTGAAAGTTCTTGCATCATATTACTATGCAACTGTTGTATGAAATCATTGCCCTTGCATGAAATCATTGCCCTCTATGTGTGTGGGTATGTGTTATGGTTTTTGAAGGTTGTTGCATCATATTTCTATGGCATGAAATCATTGCCCAAGTGTGTGTATCATTGACGTTGCATGAAATCATTGCCCTGTGTATCATTGCCGTTGCATGAAATCATTGCCTGCGTGCGTGTGTGCATGTGGCGAGAGAGAAATCTGTGCATGTTCATACTATGCAAGTGAGGCGTCACTCATGTGCAAGTGTAATAAGGACAATTAAAGCATCCGAAGTTCACCAATCCAAAAAAATAAAATTCAATAAAGCCAAGAATACCAAACATTGGAGAACTACATGGAGTTGTGATTATAGAATTCAAGAAAAAACGAAGATCGTGAATCCTTTCATGCAAAAAAAAAACAAATTCTAGTTAAAAAATAAGACCAAAAGTTCTATAAAAATCAGGCTTACATTCTGAGACAGATAAGAGAGACGCAAATTCGCAAATGTCAATTTCCAAATCTCATAAAACTGACAACATGCCAATTCCATTATAATCTCGATGCCACTGTTCATACTCTATTAACAAACAAGTGAGAGGGACTGTGAAAGGGAGGGAGAGAGAGAGAAAGAGGGGGGGCAAGGCGATGCAATACCTCTGGTGCATCAATTGGCGCTTATCCTGATTCTCAGCCTTGGATACACTTGGGAGAGGAGAGAAGCCACCTGCGGCTCAGTGAAGACAAAAAGTAATGGTTGGAAAGTAACCTGTATTATCTCTGTACTTTCCCAATGGAATGTAGATAGATTGACAAAGACACAACCCTGTAACAAAAAAAGTTGGAAGATAAATTAGTTCTTACACTTGAATGGAAATAACCATGGTCACACTTTCCTTTTTCTGATAATCAAATCTGTTATACACATTGTATGTGAGAATGCAACTATGGCCACAGACGGTATCAACCAAAACTTCAAATTTTCTCTTTTGCTTATCTATAATGAGCACATAATCTAAAACTGCCACTTACGACGTTGAGCCAAGAAAGAATGCAAGAGAAAGATGAAACCCAAAGAGAAACACTGATACTACTGCCGTAAGAAGCATCGCAACCGAAGTGGAATATACCTACACAAAGCATCAATCAGCAAAAGAAAAGGAAACTCCTACACAAAGTAATGGAATCATATCATCGTAGCTGCAAGCCCATTCAAATCTCTCTCTCTCTCTCTCTCTCACACACACACACACACACATGCACGAGCGCACTCACGTTAGCATTATGTGCACACATACATTAAATGTATCAACCAATTAACTGTTAAGACAACTGCAACAACTAAGTTTTCAGATGAATACATGTCTTGTGATTTATAGAAATCATGCATTAATATACGGAACTTTAATGCTTTCTTCACAGCTGTCTTCCATTTTTTCTGACATTGAAGATATTTTACAATTTTTTTTGGGCTTAACTACTGCTCTCTCTCTCTCTCTCCCAAGATTATTGTAGGCAGTGAGGTGGAGTTTAGTGCTTGCATGAGGGCCATGGAATATATTCCTAGGAAGCCTGGGGGCACTTCAGAAGGAAAGCAGAGTTGGAGGAAGGGGGAAGCCCAGTATACTTGTATGGAGGAGAATTAGAGTAGATAGGGGTGGACAAGATGTTTTCAGTTGGTCTGGTTGGATGTTTTCTCTGTTGGTCACGAATAAGGGCATTGAGCACAAAGGGCAGGATCACAGCATTATTGCGGAGGAGAGGTAGACAACGATAGTTTTGCAATTTCAGGGAGAAATGCTTTTGGTAGAAATGTTGAAGAAACCCGTTTCAAAGAATAACGCTTGGTTCAAGTAAGCCCCATACCTTTGTAAACACCACCACTAGTTCACATGAAATATTGCACATGCATTTGGCGCATATCAAACGTTTTCAATAAAAAGAGGTGCATGTAACGGATTCAGGGAAAAGAAGACTTACCTTGACAATATTATTATCAGCATATTTCATTACCATGGACACAGAAATCCCAATCAGGCCACCAGTTAGCCAACAAAACTATCTTGGTAGAGAGAGAGAGAGAGAGAGAGAGCACCTGAGGGCATGATTCAGATTCGTGCAAATCGTGATAAGAGAATAGCCATGAAAAAAACCCTGAAACATTATCCATACGTTTGTTACCGATCCAAAAAAAAACGAATAAGAAAATACTATTCTAAATTACTCTATATTTCTATG